GTCAGGGACCAAGGACACCCGGGCTGAGGGCCGGCGCCTGCGCCCACCCAGGCCAGCAACGCACCCCCGGGCCACGGCCACGGGGCCCCGCCGCAGACCCACCTTCCTTCACCAGTTCGGCCAGCAGGCTGCCCCACTCGCTGCGGAAGATGTTGGCACCTGTCAGGCTGCCGTCCCCGCCGATGACGCACAGGTTGGCGATGCCGCGCTGGACCAGGTTGTAGGCCGCGGCCAGGCGCCCCTCCCTCGTGGTAAAGGCTGCACAGCGCGCACTGCCGATGACGGTGCCACCCTGCGCCGGAGACGGCTCGTGGGCGCGGGCGGCGGGAGGTGGGGGGCCCTGCAGCACCTCCCACACCGAGCAGCAAGGGGATGGGGCGGACTCCACAGAACGGAGAGGAGAGGTCCGGGGGCTGCCCCGGAGACCCTCACAGGGCTCTCCACCTCTGGGGCCTTTCTCCCCACATGGGAGATGAGAAGGAGAGCATCCACCCCTCAGGCTGGCGAAGGTCAGAGCAGGTGAGGGGATGAAAAGGGTCAGGAAGCTGTAAGTGGCCCGAACACGCACTCACAGAGACACAGATACACACACACAAACACACACAATCACACTTTCAGTCATACACACAGAGAGACACACAGAGACATGTACTCACACTCACACACACAGAAACACACTCACACAGAGAGACATGCACTCACACAGGCACAGAGACACAGACACACATCAACACACAACCCCTTCCACAGTCACACACACAGACACACACAGAAACGTACTCACGCTCACACTCACTCACACACACGCTCTCCCACGCACCCCCTTAGCCAGAAGCCGAGAGTGAGATTATAGCCAGAGTCCCCAGGGCCCGTCCCAACCCCACACCCTCACGACAGTGGACAGTATGACCGGCCACAGAGCCGGAGCCAGGACAGTGGACACACAGGCAGGAAGGGTCAGCTCACCAGCTGGATGATGTTGGAGACACTGAGCCAGTTGGCTTGGTTGATGTTCTCACCTCCTTCCACAAGGCCTTCATAGCCCTGGAACCAGAAAGGGACATCAACATGGGCGGGCAGCCCAGGACAGCTGGACAAGCTCTGTCTGTCTGGGTGCTTCAGCCTGCAGCCAAAACTCCCCCACCAGGAAGCAACTCGAGGCTCCTGACCACCTGACCCAGAGCCTTGGGAGATGAGGCCTGGGTCAACCAGCGGTCAGGGTGCTGCCTGGGAAAGCAGCCCAGCCCGAGGCCCTCTGGGCCCGACCCCCCCTCTGCCGGGCTGGCAGTCCCATTATCGCCTATAACACACCTTCGCCAAAGTGCTCAGGTCGGAGGGGTCCCACTGGATGAGTCCCCACAAGCTAAGCACATCACACACCTGCACCCAGGCAAGCCAAACAAGGCCAGTGCCCAGAGGACCGTGGTGCCTTCCAGACCCGTCCCCCCGACCCCACCAGGAATGACATCCGGCTCTCGCAGCGCAGATCCCATCTGCTCGTTCTGAACTTGACAGAGGTGAACGCTCAGTGTCCGCGTTCTTTGTACCTGGTTTCTTCTGCTCAGATCACGCCTGTGAGTCACAGCCACGCTGCTGTTTGCAGCTATACCTTTTCTGTGCTCTACCTGTCCCCGCTGGTGGGCACAGGTAGCCCTCCGTGGGGCTAATAGGAACTAGGCTGATGAACACCAGTATCCCAGGATAGACACGTGGTTTTTTTCAGGGCAGGGGGTGAAGGAGGTGGGCACGCTGCCTCCCCTCCAGGAGCCCAAAGCAAGAGAAGTTTCTCGGGGATCACAGGAGGACTGTGGCACCCTAGTCTGAGGGACCCAAGAGCCACCTTCTCTGGCTTAGAACAAACCAAGCCTCCCCCTCACTGGTCCGGGACACAGCTGCCAGACCCACACCAGCCCCCACCCATGCACGGAAAAGGCAGAGAAGTGTCCCGTAGCTACACACTGCAGATACGAAACCCGCAGACATCCATCTGCAAACACCCGGGTCCAGACCCGGTGCCCAGCACGTCCAACCTGGCCTCTGACCCCCTGAGCATGAGGCTCCAGTCATCTTCAGGGACCTCAGCAAGGCACGGCCGGGCAGGGCAGGTCAGCTCTGGCCAGCAGCCAGCTGCTTCTCCACATCAAAGTCTCACAGACACACTCTCCTTTCCTAGCCTCGGAACCTTCTAGAATGTCTCTGCACACCTCCAGTGACAAGGCACTCGTTTCTGACCAAGGCTGGCGACCCAGGGCCACCTTGGCAGCGGCTCTTGAGGTTCCTCCCTGTGATGAACTCTTAGTTCACAGGCCCAGTTCTGTCTACTCAGCTGGTAAAAGCAGCCATTTACTGAGCCCTTCCTGGTGCCAAGAACTGTGCAATGTGCTTTCACGTTCTGTTAGCGTCTGTCCTCCATCACCCTCATGAGGAAGGACTTGTTATCTCCATTTAACAGAACTCACTGAGGGTCAGGGAAGAGGGTCACCTGATATCGCATGTGTACAACCTCGAGGAACCGAGATTTGGACCCCGCCTCCTTGTCTGGAGACCATCTCCTATCCACTAAACTAGACCACATCCTGGAGAACCTCACAAAGGCCTCTGGGTGCCTCTGGGTTACTATCAGGGTGGGGACCACCCCTGCTGGGCTTCTGCAGTCACAGACCCGTGAGACTGAGAAAATACGGCTTAAGGCTCTGAGCGGTCACAGCCCCAGTGCTGATCTAAGCCTGGGTCTGTGGGAACCAGGAGAGGCAGGGCTGAGCCCTGGGAGAGGAGGGGAGGCTAGAGGTTGATACATCTTATGTAAAAAGCAAAAACAAAGTAACAACATACAACCAGAAAGCCACAGGGCAGTGCAGGGAATTCCACTGCCTGAAGGCAGTCCTGGTGATCTCCTTCTGTAAAGATGACAGCCAAGAAAACTCTATGGGGCAGCTCTACTCCATAACACACAGAGTCGCCATGAGTCAGAATCGACTTGATGGTTGGCGAGTGTGTGGAAATGCGCAGGCTGGCAGGACAGCCCCAAACCCGCTCCAGAGACGTGCTGGGGGTGGGGGCTCGGGGGGGCAGGGGAGGATGTGGCCACCAGGCCCCCTGCCGTCAGGAACAGACAGGCTAGAACCACAGAGTACTAGCAGTCGGAGGTTTTGCAAGGAGCCACTGTCCACTGCTATCCCAGCAGGGGAGTGAAGCGGGGTGAGCTACGTGGGCTCCTCACCGACACTCTACAGCTGGGGCCTGGCCCCTTCCGTACGTCACACACTGACCAGCCTCAGGGTGATCCCCAGCTCTCGGGCCCTCGGCCTCGGGGCTGCACAGTGACCAGTGACCGCTGCTGAGCAGAGCCACATCCCCCCATCTCTTCTCCCCCTACCACCTTCTCACCCCTTCCCCACACCTCTCCTCCTCGCCCCCGCCTCTCTTTCCCCTCTGGCCTCGCCTCCTCTTCCTCACCTCCTCTCCCCTCTCACCTCTCCCAGGCAGCCTCTGAACTTGAACCCACATTCCCTCACTGGGTGGCAGAGACCTTGGCTGGGCTGACAAACTCCCCTCACGCACCCTGGCAGGCTGTGGACATGCTGGACAACTGAAGGCCAGGCCACCCAAACTGCCTACCGCCTGCCACCCACCGCCCACCACCCAGTGGGCTTGGATCACCCCACC